CCCCCGCCCCGCTGCCAGCTGCGCAGCCCCTCGCGGGGCGGGGAGGGGGGGGGTTGAGCCCGGGACCTGCACGGAAACTCCCGCTGCGACACCACGAAGCCGGGGGGAGCGGACCGACCCCGGGCACAGCAGCGCCGCGGGGTCGTCTGCGAGCGGCCGGGCTGAGGACAGCGCCTGTTGTGAAACGCCGGCGAAGGAAACAAGAGTGGAATTTCCATCATGTGTAAAAATGACACCCCACCCCTCCCCTTCCAGGCACGGTTCTCACGTCTGCGCCCCAGCCCGCACGGGGCAGCTGAAGTTTCTTCCGAGGGCACGGTGCGACTCTTTCATCGCGGCGTGATTTTTAAATGTAACCCATGTGGAAAGGAACCGGGGGATCTGGCACAGGACTTTGGGTGAGGCTGGCGGTTCTCCGGGCTTGAAGAGGTCAGACCTCCCCCCCAGACCCTCAAGGACGAGCCAAAGCACCCCCAGCAGATACGTCTGGTATGCAAAGCACTTATCTCCCTCAAAGCCCGTTGTACGCTAACGGGAGAGCTCCTTATAACAAGGCACTATTGGTCCAGCGAAGACTTTGAAGGAAAACTTTATCCAGGAATTCATTTTAAGTCTTTTGGACCAATTTTAGGTTTTCATAGATTAATTCCCCGGTGCCGCAGCCAGCTCCACAGGCGGTTTGTGACCGAGGCAGGCACGCTAAAACAATCCAACAGGGTTACCTCACGCAGGGCCGCGGCGATACCGCTTCTTGTCGGCAGGACTGCAATTGTTACTTATCTTTCCAAATATACTTAAGATTTTAGTGTTGACTCTCGGGCAACAAGACGAAGAAAGCACGCCCCGTGCCCCGGGAGCTCTCGGCTCTGCGCAGCGAAGCCGCCCGGGCGCAGCGCTCGGTGAAGGGGTTTGCTCATTCCGCCACTTTGCAAATAACCTCGAGCGGTGGCTCCGGGTGGGCACGTCGGGGAATTCATCCGAGCCAGGCAGAGCGGTGAGGATTCACCGTAAGGTTCCACGTCCCGTTTTCTCGCTGCTCCCACACGGCTGCGCGCCAGCCGGCTCTGCCGAGCAGAAACCCGGTGCTAAAGGCACCCGGGGCCGGGGGAAGCGGCTCCGGTCCCGGAGGTGTTCGCCCGGGGACGGGAGGGGTGGGGAGGAACCGGGGCTGCCCCGGTC